CTTCTGTTACGAAGTATTGTTTGGCAAAAACGATACATTTTTTTTTTCAGCCGAAAAAAGCTGGGGTTCTTCAAGTCTTGTTACACGGGAATACGTTTTTGGGCATATTTTGGGTCAAAATATCTTGGTGCGAGCCGTATTCGAGGGCGCGTGGTACTCGAGTAAATACGGTAGCTTCAATAAATTTTGAGAAACTGAGGATGGAGTGCTCCAAAGTCATGGCTTTACCCTTTATGTGGACTGTACAACTTTCCAGATGACCACCTCTCGCGGTACGTTGCACCACATAATGCAAGGTCTTCCGTGACTCCACAACTTGAACTCTACTCGCAGCATTATTAGTCATTTCTGTTTTCATTTTGAAACAGCACTGCTCAATCGAGCCTCCGCTCAGTCCATCCCAAAGTTGTATTTACCTTAACAAATGCTCATAGGAATCAAGGCTGAGTATTTTAATTTTTTTGTAGTGGCAATAGACGAGCGCTCCACATGGTTAGGGACCCACGTACTGTATCGTCATTTTTTTCGCGTGGGTCAGAATTGGTTCGGCTGAGGAACCCTGACCTTATATAGAGAAAACAAAGTCACGACCATATTTCTGAATGCGCTATAAATCCATTATGCTTCAGTTACGTGATCAGCATAGGCCGCACTTCGATTTTGCGCAGCGATTACAGAGCTATAATTTGTACACGCCAAATCGAAAGCTTCATCTGGAAAAAATCGCCATTGTTTGCGAAGGCATCTTGGGAGAATGTACGGTAAAAAAAAAAAAAAAAGCTCTTGCTGGAACGGAATTTTTTTCCATTCGGGTCTGATGAGAACAAGAGACTGCTGAGTGCTGATCGTCTAAGAATGAAAAGCGTGGAGTCATCTCTTCGTTTGAATAACGTGAATAGCGTAAACATTGTAATACCCATTATTATGCATAAGTTAGATTATCCTGAGGGAAAGCGTCATCTTTGAGACTTTCACATAAGCTATGCTTGAATACTTCCAGGATAGGCCGTACCAAAGTTCCTTTTCTTGTTGCTCAATTTTTGTGAAAATATATTTTTAAAATGTTTGCAATTAAATCATCTCTCTCACGAAGCGTGGAAGCGAATGTTGAAATGTTGGCAGATTTCAGTGCAGAAGTTCTCAACGCTTTGAACTGGCCTTTTCTGTAAATAATCAATATTTGTGGCGGAGCCTTTATGAAGAAATGTTTTCCACGGATCCCACCAATGTCTTGCGACTTTTTTCTGGAAATTACGAGTCCCCGTTTCAAATCATAACGAAACGAACCGTTGGATGCTGGAATGTGCAATACATTTCGCCATTACAGCATGCATTCGAACGATTTGGCGCGGGTTTATTACCATTAATACCACGCTTCCAGTGAGAAGAACGATGAAATAAGGAAGCACGAACCCGCAAGGTCGACGAGTAGGGAATCTCCTGAGGCATTGCCAATGTTTCAGGATAGCCCCAAAACACGAGGGGGAAGCTCGAACGACGTTCCTCGCCGGTCACGATGTCAAGGAAAATTAGGCCTGTTATCGGGCGGGTTCAAAACCACTGGAGTTCGATCCCCCGGCCTGATGAGCGCCAGAACCCGAGGTGCAATGTATCACCGAGTAACCCTGTGATTCTGGCCACGCATCGCTAACCATGGCAACACGCGGGCGCCCACGTTTTCTGGGCGTCACGCTAAGCGGATCAGGCAGAGGGATTCCATTGCGCCGCGTATTCCGTCGAGTCCTGTACCCTCTCATTCGTCCGAAGACTTTTGCTGCTTAGCGAGAGAGATACGTGCGGAATTTCATTTAACCGAGGGGTTTCAATTCTCACACAACAATGCCGCGCGGGCAATGTTCGTCGGACATGTTCTCCCTGAATGCGTGTCACCTCGACCATGGTGTGAGGACGCACATATGAGACTGGGTTATTCGATTCCTCGGACGCTGAAATAAAACCGTCAGTACAAACTCATGGCTAAGTACTGTATTCAGTTATCCACTCATTTCCTGAGGATAGATTTAAAAAGGACCTGGATCATATCGATAGTAAGCTGATTAAAGTTTGCAATTTTTATAATTTCACGTCGACCATCCAGACAGTTATCTAGATTCTAAAGCTTGGATTATGCTTGGTCGTTTGTCATTCGTCTGTGTCGGAACGGAGGATTAAGGAATTTAATCGCTTACGGTCAGATTTGTCACAAACAAATTGAAGGGAATTGGAAAATAATTTTTGCATCGTTGTGCAATATTGATATTCTGTTGGAAACAGAAGCATTCTCAAATCAAAAGTTCATATATCATGAGAATAGCTTGCGTTATAATTCATTTCATCTCACAGAAATATATTTCTTCTATCAAACGATACGGTTTCTCTAAAAAAATAATTACTTGTGGAGCTCAACTGAGAAACGGTGAAATCAGCTATGTGACAAGCGAGTTGAAACAATATTCTTTGCAACAGAATTTAACCTTCACATCCTTCGTTATCCGAGGCAATGATGGAATCCATTCTTCTGGTTGCCAGGAAAATTATGGCTAAGGATAACTACAGTGCTGAATGGTCATTATATATTATCTGCAATGATGTAGCGTAGAAAGCGATCAACCCTTTAAAAATGCGCATTAACAAAGTTTCATGAATTAAAACGCGTAAAACATTTTGGTGATGAACTTCGTCAAACGCACTGGGATATACCCGCGAAAGGCGAATTATTTCATGACGGGTTAGTCGTTAGTGTGTCACAATTCACTGACGGTGTGTGCGACTTCGTTCTGTGCGACAATTCAAGTCTAGCGGCGGGAATAAATCTTATTGCAGCAACACAGCTGCTTTCTAGCAACGGGAAATAATTAACATGTGCAAGGGACGTAAAAGTTCTCAATGCCATTCCTCCTTTGAAATATGCGTTAGATATGCGAGTAAAGCTTTTCCATACACGAATGGTTCCTCTCATTGGTTTTCCCGTCATTTATTTTTAAATTATATTCAGGAAAATTTCATTTGGAGTTTCATTTATTAACATATTCCGAAAAAATTGTATCTTCTACGAATGAAATAACATGACAAAGGAAGATTTTTCTGAGTATCCTCTGTTATTGTCCCTGGATCCTAAATACATACTTACTTCTATAACTCTACCGTGGCTCCAGGATCGGTTAATCATGTTTCAGAACTTATAAGCGACTTACGGTAAAGTGGCAGTAAAATCAAATAAATATGTACATGGCTCACTTTGCTTACAAAATAATGTATTGTACAGGGGCGTTTCTCCTTTCCGCGTTTCAGTGGAAGTTCTATTTACAGAGAGCAGTTTTTTTCGCAGAAAAAAATTTTTAAGCATTGATCGTTAAATGGTAAATATTGAAAGAATATCTTAAATTCAATCGAACAAAGCTAGTTTGGAACAATAATTAGAATTTTCTCCACAAAATTGAAAATCACGGATAACCATCAGATGAACATCTTGATTTGAGTAACATTTTATTGATCAGATTAGTGTATTGAAATAAATTAACAACCAAAAATATCAGCCAATCCTTTAATCTTGCACTGCAGATAATCTGATAGCATCTAGTTTCAAAATTGAATAGTTGAATTGATAGCTTATATTGATGTGTGGATGATCAATTTTACATGAAAGATGTTTCATTTCAAGGACACGGTTAATCAAATCGTACTGTCCGTGATGCGTGAGGTATAAAGGTTCCATTGAAATTCCAGCAAAATTTTACCAAATCCATCACGTCCTAAAATTAATGCCTCGCGGCTATGTTTTGCTCGTACAGTAAATAAGATTTCGGAACATTAGGGTTGGTGACTGTAGTATGTGGATAATACGTACTATGTAACACTATTTTTAAAAAAATCGAGAATGAGCAGATCATATAAAACATTACTGGAATTATCATACATCTCGAAAATCGTCGCTAGATAATTTTTCAATGGTAGTGAGAATTAGCTTGTACAATTTTAAACACTCCGTTTTCGTTTCTCTCAGTAAAATAAGAATTATTCACGGTTAATCGAATGACGGGTGTACAGGAGCCCGTATAATTATAGGTCTGTTGTATTTCATCACATTTACGACCTTTGATGAGCATTCCCCTTTTTTTCCCCGGATGACGAGAAAAGTTAATTATTTTCACCTTTTTCAACCCTGCGTCAACCATGATTCCTTATAGGCATTCGACGTGTTCAGCAACGTCCACTTCACATCATTCGTTTTTCGCTTCCCCCCCAGCCTTCAATCTGGAGTGAGGTAGTCTGGGCGATGCTCGGGAAATCCGACTGCTAAATCGCGTGAGGGCTGTCGACAACGTCGAAGGGGAAAGAGCGCGTTATCCGGGCTCAGAACGGGCGGTAAGAAATCCGGCGAGCGATCGTATCAAAGCTCCCCGCCTGACACTTTCTCGCAACTTCTGTCAAAGGGTAGTCCAGGTCAAAGTAAACGCAAAAAGTTTCTGGGATATGGCCGAATGCGTTCACTCTCAGATTAAGGCTGGTCCAGTATTGAACCTCGTGTCTCGGGAGAAGTTTCTCGGACAGTCCCCCCCCCCCCCCCCCCCCCCCCCCCCCCCCCCATAAAAAATGGTGACACCCCCCCCCCCCCCCCCCCCCCCCCATTTTATTCCGCTCGGGGATCGAGTTTCTGCTTCATTTTCTACGTCGTTTCCCTCTCCGTAACGCAACGGAGATGAGCGCGTGTTTGAGGGGTGTTCGTTAGGCGGGCTAGTTAAACTCGATTGTCAGACGTGTGTAATGAGCTAGCAACATGCATTCTCAGACATGGAATGTACAAAAGGCTTCGGCCGGGCTCGAGGCGTTTTCATCAGAGACTCTCGAATTCCTCGAGCATGCATGAAGAGCAGGGGGGAAGCGCTTGGGGCTTTGCGCCGGTGTTGTGCAGATCCAGAACTTTTGCGCGCCGGGACAACGCAAACTCCTGCCCGCGTTGCTGACAAAACTCTCGGAAGGCCGCTGTACTTCTTGTGTGTCACATTCGAACCGTGCTCGAGAACAGTCGGTTTTCCGCCAGCCCTGCCGCAGATTTCTCTCTCTAAAGAAATTGAAAAGAAACACGAGTTCCAGTATTTCAGTATACAAGGTGCCGACTCTTGCGGTGCTGAAGACGCATATATTCTTCCTCACGCGTAACTCTCGGTGGGTTCGAGTTCTTGGAAATACGTTTTTCATTTTTTTTAGAGCAAATATGAATTTTTATTTTCTTCGCAACTGCAACGTAATAACAGGACCGGAGTATCTCGGAAAGTTCCGCCAGCACTTCATTCTGAAAACGTTTTGGAGTACAGTAGTTTCTTAGGACTACGACTTGCTTCAAAAGATGGATGCGTGCTTCAGTTGTTGATAAACGTCCTCAATTCCTCTAACGAACTATAACTTTCGAAAGCATCGGAAAAAGGGGAGCCAATTCTTTTTGAATGTCGCGTTAGAACTTGAAAAAGGCAAATTTCCAACTAACTCCCAGGATTTTGACTGTCATTTATAGCTTAGTTTGGTAGACAATCAATGGAAGAAACCTCTTTTTCATGGATTTTCTTCTCCCTTAAAAATTCTAATTATCGGGATAATTATGAGGTGATATGGAGATCCGGATAGTTAATCAAAACTTAGCAATGACGGAAGCCAAGGAACTTCCTGATTTCTGGTATACGGTTGTTCGAGCTCGCGTCCCCGCACTTTTTAATAGTGTCATGTTTCCTGCACTGAAGCATGTTTATTGACTGCACATCTTTTCTCTCCGTGTTGATGCTTGCATCGCGCTAGTTTCAGGCGTTCGGGAGCACACCCGGTTCTCCAAGTCAATCACACAGAGCAGCAGCAAACATGAGCAAGTGCCAGAATTTCTTGCGTCAATTCCGCGACGCGGAAAGCCAGCAGTTGAAGAAACTCACTGCGAATCAATTCATGGAGGTCTGGAATAACTACGACTCCGACGGTGAGTACTTATCGATCTTATCAACCTTATACGAAATATGGTCGCTGGAAAACAACGTTATCAAAAGAGAAGAGTACGGGGTCTTAGCGCCTCAAACGATGCTCCGTCAAGTAGAAAGCTCGGATGGTACAGAAATCTGGCCCGTTTCCCACCTCAGCGCTGTTGATTGTAATATTTTCTCGGTGTTTTTTTTTCTTCCTACGGTCGGGAATATTGACAACGATTATTGCTGTTTTACGAGCACGTCCCAGCTGGTGAAAATTATTCATGAAGCGTCAGCAGTAATTGATCGATAACGCGTGAGAGAATAACTGTGTCCGCAGCGTGGCTGCAAACTCTTTTTGCACTTGAAATTCATGGGATTAATGGCTCGGTCACTCTCACTGGTGCAGTAATTGTTTTTGCGTAGTTAGATGTGTGAAGTGGATAAAACGATGGTTCAAAAAGAATGGGGAACATACCATAATTTTTTCATACATTTGAGACCAAGGTACTTGACGCCACAAACCTTCGCCAGAGAAAGTGCCTATATTTATCATGCTATAAACCAAGCCATCTCTGAATTTAAAATGAGGTGATGCCTCGAGGTTGGAAAATGATAAGAATGGAGCTCGAGGATCGAATATGTCCCAAGTGTGGGTCATGCAAGAAAATGAGTGAAAATGTCAGATCTTTTTTCAAAAATCGTCGAAACTTTTAGAAGTTGTGCTGAAAAAACCGGAAAACATTTTCAGGATGGAAAAGCTCCGCTCATTCAGTCTTGCTAGGATCAAACGGTAGAGACCATCCCTCGCCGACGCCGACTCGCACATCTACTCATTAAAAAAAAGGAATTTAAATTAGCAGACTAATTTTGCTTACACGCATACTAGAAAACTCTGTAGAGAAAATACCTTTTTGTCTTAAGCAGGGTTTTCAGCCCATGAGAAACGTTTCGCTGAGGGGCAGACTGTAACTAAACACATTATGCGAGAAATAATCGAATATCTCCTGAAGTAAAGAGCAAGAAATGAAGGAAATAGCCGGCATGCTTCAGGGAAAAGCTTTTGCGCTAGGGGGTAAAATCAATCTTGAATACAGCAAGAGGGTAAATAAAAGTAGGCGGCGTTTTCGCGTACTTTTTAACGCTCTTGTTGGAAAAAGGTTCTCATATTCGGTGCATGCAATAACCCGAGCTAGCTTTTCGAGGCTTAAATGCGGAGGAATTTAGAATCTCTTGAAGAGCGGACGGCAGTATTCACGATGTACGGCATCCGTAATTTTCTGACTATCTTCTGAGTGGGATGCACAATTTCATCACGTCATTTCAGCCGAGTTGGATGCGAAAGGAGCTGGGATCCTCGATTCCTCGGTCGCCAGCAGTTGCTGACGCGTTAATGAATCCAGAATTCCCAAAAAGACATATGCAATATTCAGTGAGATAAATTCCCAAGACAGTCTTCCGTTTGCCCCGAAGAACGCCTCCACTCCTTTCGCTGGAAGTGGACGTCGTTTCCGCCTGTAATTCGCATATTCCATCCCATGAGACTTTCAGTTGACTCTTGATATAACCATTTGCCTTGTGCTTTCCAGAGAACTGTTATCTTTAAAAGGCGAAAAACAGCCCTGCTGAGTTACTGCTACCCGAGACATGTTGTTCAAAAAAAATGTGAAAGACGAATTATGCATATTCGAATTTATTTTCTGTAGCGTTCCAATGCGTAAAATACTTGCATGTTAGATTTTTATGACCACATCCGAGTATATCAAAACTCATGCCTCAATAACAGTGCGCCTTTCATGGATCTTTCATTACGTCATAAAAATCAAGGCGTTCTGAAAGTGGTCGATAAAAGTGATATAAATCTTTGAAAGCTATTTTCATATCATACCGGACTGAACTCAATATCTGGAGATCAATACCATTTGCTATAAATGCTGCCAATTTGAAGCGAGCATTCTAGTTATATTACAGCTGATGATTTAGCCGATGCATATTTGCTCATTAGTCATGACTGATGAATATGCAAACACATACAGATGCTTATTAACCGTAAAAAGCAATAAATCCGCAAGGAACTGGTCAATAGCAATACCCCAGCAGCTCTTACTCCTTATTCATTCAATATGCAAGAAATTGATTCGAATTACCCCCGAATAGAGTGAATCGGATAAATTTCAGAATGACGGGATATTCGATGCATATTTCATAAATCACATCAATTATTTTGGATATGCTCGATTTTCGTCGGCCTCACGGAGCATCGAGAATACGGTTTGTGCCAGTCGAACTGTCAGAGAAAGAAATGTTCCTGCCAGTTTTCACACGCATTTGTCAAAGTATCGCTGCATGCTCTGAACCAGCATACTCAGGAAGGAAGTCTTCCTCGTGCCCTACCGAGGAATAAGTAATTTTGGCAAGAAGAACAATGCTCTGGAGATTTCCGTGGTGGACCATATCCAATATGCTGAGCTGCATTAGCTTCTGGAGACATAAGGATCTCAGAGAGGTGATTTTCTCGCTATTCATCAAACGGGTGTCGGCACAAGTTTCTCACACGAGACATTTTCCATCGGATTCCTTTTTTCTTTCTTTTGGCGAAATTCCACGATCGTGACCTAATCGGCTGTGATGCACTGGATCTGCACTTGAGTGCCCAGTGGCCAGTCTGAAGCTCCATCATAATTCCATCCCGCCAGAGCGATTTCATCTCCCGCGTCTCCCTAATGACTGGCACAGCGCGACCCGGACGGTCATCATGCGGAATGCGTCGTCGGCGTCTGTTTCATATCCCGAAATTCAGCGACCCATTTGGCCGAACTTCGGGTGGAGCTTTATCAAGGCGGAAAACGCGGATGTGCCGAACTGAGGCGCCATTTTCTGTTGCCGTCTCACGCGGCTGATTGAACTCAGAGACGGGATAATAATTTTTGAATCCCTCGGAAGTTTCTTCACTCTTCCTACGATATCCATGTAAGAAAAGCGATGCACTTTTGGACTCCCACTTCAGTCTCAAGAGAAGTTAACATGATTTTAAAGAGTAAATTGAAATGCATGCGCATCGCTTCTCTAAAAAATAACATTTCCCTGCATATCCCTCTTTGAGTTGACTTCCCTGAGGATACCAGCTCACATCGCAATCGAATGCAAGACATTATATTTGCTGACTATGGAAAATGGACGAAAATTTAGAATTCGACATGTTTATCTTCAGATGAGGTTTTTGGACTCATATTACATAGTAACAATATTCATGGATGATTTTGCGCGAACGCGTGATTCAAACAATTCTTGAGTCATTAAAACCTGGGAATTTTCCGTTGAATCATTTTTTCCCCTTCAGTAAAGTAGAAATGTATATGATGAGTGAATTTTCTGCACATGGGAGTCATAAGATGAACATTACTTGCATCCTTGACTAGAAAATAGAGATCTCTCTCACTCTCGCTCTTTCCAGTAAATTTCAGTGAAAGTGCCAGCTTTCAATTAAAATTTCAGGAAATGAACTTGTGGAGTCGTTTAGCTTCATAATACTGAGGATCGTGAGTCTTTGCAAAGTTTTAAATTCTTCGATCGACTCATTTCTGTACAATTCCGAAGATCAATTGCATTGACAGATGTGTCGATACTGTATTGCGATACGAACGATCATATCGATAACTTTTCGAGTACAGAACTGGTGACTGAGTAAAGCCTGGGGATATTATCCAGATATTCGTCGAGATTGGGAGACATCCCGAGTAATGTTCTGGACGAAGATCCACGCATTCACCGGAACGTGGCAGTTTAGCGCCCGGTTGCTCAGATTCCGTCTTACATAGCCTGAGGAGATTTGTGCGACTTTGCCGGACACGATGGACCATCTCTGAGATGCCTTGATAGGATTTGAATGTCTGTAAGGAAAGCTTGGCGCGTTGCCACATGGTCACGATTTGCGTCGCATGCGAGATTCGCTGACAAACGAGCTCCCGGTCCTTTTCAGCCGCGGCGAATGCAAGCCCTCATCCGCGGCGACGAAATGAAACGAAAAGGGAGCAATAAAGCGTAAATAAAATATACTGTCAAGATCGTTCTCTCTATATACAAGCTATATGAATTTTCTGCGGCCCAGAAATTTTGTACGGACGACGGGAAGTCTTCGCGGAAAGTTTAGATCCGAGAAACAAGGTCAAGGGAAGGAATCTGCCTTCCGCGCTCTTTTCACTTCTCCTGGAATGTTATTGGACTCTTCGTCCAATAACGCCACGGTTCCGTGCTTCGACAGCCGCCTGAATTGCCGGAGGAAAAAGGATACGCAGCACGGGAATCACTCAGCGAGCCGGAAGTTCGCCATTCCCGCAACGATCAGCAAAAATACCCGCACCACCGCCGCGTTCGTGTGTCGTTCGGCTTTACGTCCGCCCCAAAAACGGAGGAAGAAACTAACTTGAGATCACGTCTTCTTTCAACCGTGTCAGGAGAAAAGCACCCGGACAAGAGAGCAGCTAGAAGGGAAGCACCCAACAGAGAGCGCCCATGACCAATAGTTCCCTCTGAATATATTTTTGCCTCTTTTTTCTCAGGCATTGAATAATTTTGAAGGTATGATGGATTGCATACCTTTTCGAATCAGGAATTCACTGTTATTGATGAATTTTATTTTTAAAATATTCGTTACGCACATTATTAATGATGTGCAAAATATTACTGGCATCATGCTAAGAGATGCTTCACTCAATGTACATTTGAAGTACAATTTTTCAAGCCTATCTGTACTAATACATGAGCAGAATCTGCAGATAGTCGATGAGTGTGCGTCAGATGATGTGGTTGCAGATTTTATTTTGATTTCGAGTTTGGATTTTTTGGCGTCCTACACGCTTAGAAATTATTATGAATATTGATGAAAAATACAATTATATCTATCAGGACAAAGTTCCCTCGCCCCAATGATCAAATGGAATGATGGATGATCAGATACTGCTGGAACATTTTAAGGGAACATGTTTGAAAACCAAGAATAGTCCCATTTCTCATCTCT